TTAATAAATATAATAATTTAATAAATATAAATACAATTTTAATAAAAAGAACATTAAAGATATAGAAACAACTTTTATAGAAACACTTTTTAATCATAAAAACAAATTAGTTTAAAAAATTACGTACATGTTTGCAGAAATGATAAAAAAAATTATACAGAAGTAATAATAACTCAAAAGAAATACACACATATGCGTGTAAAAAATTTAAAGTAAATCTTTTTATAGGAACAACTTTTACAGCGGTATAATAGACGTAATAAATCAAACGCACAAAGTAATTTTTTGTTTCTACGTTCCATTCGATCATAAAAATTTAATTAAATTTCGATGTTAAAAAACAATTCTAGTTTCATATGTATGTAACCAATATAATTTTAAATGAAATACTTAACAAGCAAATTTAATACTAAAAAAATTGATTTTTTGGAGAAGCGTCTATTTAATTTGCATTATTACATTCTGAAATATTTAATAGTAGATAACTTCAATTATTTCTAATTAAATTTGAATATATAAAATTAATAGATTTAATAATAGACGATTTATTAATTATATGTAGATTTAAATTTAATTCTTGCACGTTTCGTATCCTCGTACTTTTATTCTAAGAATTCATCTGGGTCACTTATTTTAATCATGATTATACTAAATTTTATCTTTATTTTATTATACATGGTTGATGATAGTATATGTTCAAATGAACATATTTTACTCCCTGCCTCACTCCGTGCGAGCTCATCGTTCGTCCTCGACTATTCTGTTCGCTATGAAGCTTCATTTCAGACAAATGTTTTATCTACAAGGAACTTTGTTCTAGTATGCTGCGTAGCCGTCACCACTATGTCGGACAAAATTTGCATGATAAAAGGAGTTCATTTTTCTGCCATGAGATAAAAATTAAAGCGAACGTCGTAATAAAAAAAATTTTGCGAAAAGAAAAAGAAAGAATTTTTGTATCGTGCGTATATGAATTTTTAATATCATGATTTCACAATTTCACATTTCTCCGTATTATTGAGATAACTTTAATTCAAATTTCAAAAAGAAAGATTTCAAAAAGAAAAGCACACAATTTTTTCTAATTATTATAATTAGAATAATTTTCACAATGAAAATCGTACATTTTCTAGGGGAATAAAAAATTTTAAAAAAAGGAACTTAAAGAATGGGAATTAGCAGAATGTTAAAAGAAACTAAAATTTTTTTTCCAGTAACGAAATATGCCTTGTATATTTCTTTAGTCTAACTGTGCACAACGAGCATCATTGAAAGATCTTTTAATACATTGCAAAAAAGAAAACCTGCAATCAATGTCGGAAAATCATTTCAATAAACTAAGCATACACAATAAAAACCATGCTCGCGAAGAAAAAGAAGCTGAAGAAATATTAAGAAAGTTCGCTGAAATCTTTAAAAACAGGTTTTAATACAGGCATATTTTAATAAGTTTAGGCGATAAATTTCACCCTCTCTCCGATCGAAATCCTGCATATATCCATGCGTGTAGCTAATGTTTATATTTTATTAGTATTATAAAGTTTAATTCTTGCACTTTTCATATCCTCATTGTATCGCTTTTATTCTAAGAATTCTGGGTCATTTATTTTAATCATGAGTATATTAAATTCTACCTTTAGTATTCATTACACATGATTGATAATGGTACATTTTTCCAAGTGAACATATTTTACTCCCTGCCTCACTCCGTGCGAGCTCATCGTTTGTCTTCGACTATTCTGTTCGTCTCTTATATGAGGCTTCATTCACGTTTAAAAAAATTAAAAATTTTATTCTCTGAAGAGAAATAAAAATATTATTTTAAACAAAAAGGAAAATTAATAATTAATTTTAAATTAAGATAAATAACGCCGTTTCTATATAATCTCAATGTTGATTATATTCGATTTCATATGTCTTTATTCATGATACTAAATTTTAAAAAGGCTATAATGAAAGTAAGCGCACACAAACAGATTGTTAACAGACACAAAAAAATTATAGACATGATTTAAATATAATACGTACAAGAATTTTTTTATTTAAATTATTCGAACGTTTTGACTCACTTTGAAGTCTTCATCTGCGAATATTAATCTTCTTGGTTAACTATCCACACTTCAGGTCAGTCACTTCTGGATTTTCAAACCCAAAGTGAGAAAAAAAGTTTTTGATTTGTGAATAATCTTAAATACATGAGGAAATATATAAAAAATGAGAAAAATGTCAAAATATAAACGCAATTTTTCGCGACTTTAACTGTAAATTCGTGAAAACAAAAGAAATTCCGCATCATACGGTTAAATTATAAATGAAAACTAGATAGTTATACGTTCAATGTCTGAAAAAAGTCTTTATTCATTATTATCGGTAATTTTACATGTCCAGTAGCAATTTCTTTGACGATGAAATGCGCCTCGTAGCCCGATGAATTATGGAAAACTAGATATACAATGCAAATCTTTATTCATCATATACATTTAGAGATGTTTTAAAAATAAATTGAAGCATGTATTAAATTCGTAAGGCATCAAATAATGTAAGCAATAGTGTTCTACTGAAATTTATTATATGAGAGAATTCGTTAATTAGCATATATTTACATATCATTTAGATTCTTATGTTAATTTTTGTATGGAACAAGTAGATCTTAATCGATGAAATAATATCGCTGATAGCAAAATGATGACGATTTTTATGTTTTGGTTTGTTGGGCGGAACCGTGGATTCCGTTCATGTTCTGTTCCAAATATCGACCCGTCAAAGGCAGCTTCTAGCGACCTCACATAACTATATCTATCCTCTCGTTACGATGAAACACGAACTTGATATTTTTGTTGAGTCTTTCTTTTCCTCTCCTTGACTTCATAATTCAAAGGTTCGTTCTTATGAAGGGCTTATGAAAGATACTTTGAAATTTCAAAGAAGAATCATTTGACTATCTTCGTCATTTGAAGAACTACCCTTAAAATCCTTAAGATATCGAATAAAAATCGCATTTCTTTAAGAAATATAATTATATTTACTGCTCTGTTAGAGCATCAAGATCCATTATTGGATGAGTTCAACAATTGCCATTCTATTACATTACTTAAATTTACATTGAAATTCGATGGTGAACGATTAAATTTTTTAAACTATTTATTATATCGACTTTTAGATTATTTATTATATCGATTAATAATACATTTATATATGATTGATATCATATAACCTACATTTTTCGAAAGATATGTATATTTTTTTTTTAATCACACTGAAGAGGGCAATTATCATGGAATTGGTATGCAATGTTATGTTTTATCCTATCCTGAATTCCATAATAAAAATATTAATTTATTAATTGCCTTTCTTCTGACGAATCACCCCATATATTTTATTTTTTAAAACAATTGAGAAAAGAATTTTTATTAATATTCAACGGTATAATATAATTATAATTCTAGCAAATATCAACACAATAAATCTGCATTCATATCTAGCAAAATTTTTTTCATTCTTCTTTATGTATTTTTTATCTTAGATAAATTAACTAGATTTTTCAATAATTTTTCAAATTTAAAACTTGCATATTCGGTATGAATAAACTAAACAGATACATTAAACCACGAAAAGATTTCCGTCTTCGAATCACTCAAGAATAGTACAAAATTAATTGTAAGGAATGCAATGCCTCATGTGTAGGACAAACTCGCAAATTATTAAAAATTAAAATTTCTAAACATAAAAATCATATTACAGTAATACTAATTACAACAGTAATACTAACGAACATTCAGTGATTAATCATAGATTGTTCATATAATTTTAATTAGAATAATTTGATAATCTTGGATGAAGAACTCCACTATAATACACAAATAAATTTGATTTCTACCAAGCGATTTTTATTAAGAAACTGACTAACAGATTAAATTTACAAACTGATTCATATTTCCTTGATCTCCATTATAATAATGTTATCATTAGCTCGAAAAATTCTGTTGCTTCTTAATCTTATTACATATTATATATATTTAAATATATATATTTATATTTTTAGCGGATTTTAGAGATGCTGATTTATGGGTTATCGTCGTTTCATAATTCATTCCTCTTGCCAACATTTCGTGAATCTTGCTGTTCGTTTCATCAGGGCGAAAAGCACACTAATACTGAGCTACTCCTTTGGCAGATTTTTTTTATATAAACTTTGTTAAAGGGGAGTGTTTCGGGGGAGGGAAGAGGAGGAAGAGTCTTCCGTATTTTATTTATAGCCCATGTCTCTGTTTAAGTTATTTGAAAATTTCTAGAACCTCCCTATACTTTCTTGGAAAATATGATGATTGTAGCTGTAATAGTCGTTTTATTAAATAGTATTTGATGATGTCCTGATTCAATTCTGTGTTCTACCAATGCTGATTGTGTGACATATTTTAGTATAACACCGTCGATTTTCCTTCATGCGCACGTTGATCGTTCTCCCGGTTTCACTGATGTATACTTTTTCGCAGGAGCAAGGTATTTTATATAATCTTGCAAAATTGAATTGGAGACTTTCGGTCTTTAGGATTTTTCAAGATTTGCTCAATTTCCCTTGGGAGCTTAAAAATGATTTGGATTTTGCGTTTGTTCAAAATCCTGGTGATTTAGTCTGTTGTTCCTGTTTTACATATTGGAAGATAGAAAAGCTTCTTGTTTAACTCATCCTGTTCTTTGTCCTGATCCTGTGTTTACTGATTGTGTTTATATTCTCCTGTTTTATCCTTCTTAATGTATCCGTTTTATTGCAAGATTTATTTTAAGTGGCTGAAATTCTGTTTGCAGGTGTTCTTTATCAGAGATATTTAATGCTTTATGCACAAATAAGTGCCTGTTTTTGTGTTGGATGATGTGATTCGATATGTAGGTATCTATTAGTGTGTGTGTTAGCTTCTTGTATATTTGATGGCCTCAGGATATTGTCAGCCTTTTTTGTGACAAGAATATCCAGGAAGGGGAGCTATCCATTCTCTTCTATGTCCATAGTAAACCGGATACTGGTGTTAAAGTACTTGGACTATAAAGTTGTCCAATTGGAACAAAATTGGAATGAGAGTTACATATCCGCATGCGTTTCTATATATATTTAATTAAAAAATTTACTCAGCGGGCTTCCTATTGATTTGTTGTATATTATTGTTAGTATATTAAAGAAAATTCTAATCGTTCTAATTTTTTATTTTAGGAATTTAATGTCATGAAGGAGCAGCACACGATACAATCGTCGACAACCGAATCGGGTAATTATATATGAATGTTTTTAAAGAGATCCTATAATCATTTGTTAATATATTAATTGTTAACTGCCCCGTTAATTGCCGAAAGTTCGTAGATTGATTTATTTTATAAAATGATTTAAAAAATACAATTGTTTTTTTATATTAAATTAAAACTTATAAAGATAGCTTAAAATATAAACAATACAAATAAAGAGTAGACAGCCACAATGCAAGATATTGTTAACGAAAGTCAATTTATTTAAAAATTTGACGTTAAAAGTATAAAAATTTATAAAACCTAAACATTTCGGTTAAGTTTTGACCATCATTAGTAATTAAAATTATCATAAAAGATATTATAAATTAAATGAGTGTTTTAAAGATGTACATACTGTCTTCAGTTTCTTTCAATTGAAGTAAATTATTAGAAGATATTACGCACAGCATCTGAATGTTGTTTATACAATATTATCTTCAATTTAATTTGTCAATATTGAAATGTTCTTCCTTATGTATGTTATAGATTTTTTGAAGAACAAATTTTTTTTGTTTTCATGAACGCTGTGTGCAAAACAACAGGTTTTATAGATTTTTATACTTTTAACGATCGGATTTCTAAATAAATTGATTTTCGCTATCCTGCTTTGTGGCTGTTTGCTGTTTATTTGTATTGGTTTTTTTTTTATAATTTCAACATTATTTTATAAGAAAAGTTTATTATTCTTTAAATTAGATTATTATACAAACATAAATCATGCAAATTATGGAAATGTGCACGAATTGCGAGCAGAATTAGATATCCATGGATGTTATGACATTTTCGCACAAAAAATAAATATAAATTTTTTTAATTAAACGTATTTGTTATGCAATTATATCGTATACATACAGAAGAGAATCGATTTTACTGAAGTATCTAAAAATTTAGATAGATTTAGATCTGAAAGTAATTTTGTTGGACTACTAAAATAATTATGTAGAACGCTCAAACTTGTTGCTAGAATATCAAAACTTTTTGCAGTATTGCTCTTCGTGCTTGAGATTCCTATGTAATTATTTTAATGGTCTAATCAAATTATTTTCAGATCTGTATTTAGTTAAACTTTTAAATACTTGAGCAAAATCGTTCCTTCCGATAAAATTCAAATATATTATATTCATTTAGTAGTTTTAATTTCTTTCTTAAATAAATTCTCAAATATGTCTATTTTTTAACATAAAAAAGTAACTTGCCTCCTTATAATTGAAAATGATTCATAGGTATTTGTCTCTGAAAATTACCAATATCAAAAAACACATTTAAGATCTTCTCCAATAATTTCTAATGCAACTATTTCGCGCATATTTTATTATTCATTTAGAAATTTTTTTCTCAATATCAATGCATATTCGGCACATCATTCATTCTCACAGATGAAACAAAGAAATTTATAATAAACTAAATAAATCGCGCATAATTGCAAGACTTACACTTTTGAAAGTTATTTCTTTTAGCTATTAGTATGATAATTTTTCAATCCGCTTAATTTTATGTAATACATTTCCCTTGGAGGTTTACCCCATCAAAGTCGCAGTTATCCAAGCGATGGTGGAAGTAGCGGTCGAACATTGGCGAGAGACTCGTCTATCAGCTCACAGAGTTTGCCAAAGGGTGCATCTTGTTCTTCAAATTATCGGGGATCATCACCTCAAATCAGAGCATTCGATCCGAACGGACGGCATCATGTTCAACATGAACCTTTACACGCCGCCTCTTCATATCCACCTGGCAGAAGCTCGAGGTTAGTAGAAAAAGATATGATCCATCGGAAAAGACATTAAAAATACAAAAAAGACTTCAAGTATATATTTTGCAATACCTATCTTTACGTAAAATCATTTTGTAAATATATTCTAAAACATATAATGCAAAAATAAAAAATAATAACAAAAAATAATAAAAAATAATAAAAAAAGGAAGGAATAATAAAGAAAGGAAATTAAAATACAATGTTTTACATAAAATACAATACGTAGATGTATAATAGTTTGGAAAATTTTCACAGATCTCCTTCGCCAGCTCGTGCAGCATCCTTGGATACACGTTGTGCAAGTCCTGCCAGTTACACGAGCAGTCTGCATGGTGGAAATATGTTACCTTCACAGATCTCTTTATCATCCGTAGCAACGGGTATAAGTTCCACTTGCGGGTGTTCGCCGATAAATGCCGTTCAAAGTACTTCCAGACAGACCAGTCGTTGCTTATCGCCTCTTCTTATTCCATCGCCACATGCTTCTATAAGGTATATAATTATAAAATTCTCATAAATAATGTGATAAATATATTGAATTCTTTATAAAAGTGTGAATAATGTTGTTTCTAAATAAAGAAGATATAATAATATTCAGATAAATACACGACGAAAGAGATATTCATTTTTATGTATAATATATTATAATATGTATCAATATATAATATTATTTCCATAGGGAACAATTAATTCTAAAATTTTAATAAATATGGATTGATAATTCTTTTTTTATAAATAAATCTTTAAATAAATATTCTGATAATAATATTAGTTTTCTTTCTGTTATGAAACATTGATTAAAAAAAGGTCTACGGACTTGTCAACTTATCAATAGTTATATTAAAGTTTTATTGTGAATTTTTATTAAGAACACAGAATATTAAGAACACAGAAAGATGTCATATAAAACTTATTGCTGTAGTAGCGATAGTGGTCCCGTTCCACCTGCTTCTCCTCTTGGTTCTTTACAACCGGATCTTTATCAAAGACGTGACGGTCCTGTCTTTCTTAGCGCTCGCAGGTATAATAAAACTTTGCTTATAAAATATTACTGATGATATTAAATTGGTATCTCCCGTTACGTAAAAAAAAAAAACCAATTTTTATGCAATCGCAGGACGGGAAAGCATTTGGGCAGGCTTCATCTGCGCTTGAGATACGATTTTGATAAATCAGATTTGGATGTGCATTTGATCGAGGCACACAATCTCGCAGGCAGCGATCAAGGTGGTTTTAATGATCCCTATGTTAAGTTAACTCTTAGCCCAGAAGTGGACAGCAGGAAAAGACAAACACAGATCCATCGAAATGATCCAAATCCATTTTTTGATCAGCATTTCAAATTTCCTGTTAGCTACGAAGAACTGCAGGAGAAGACACTAGTTTTACAGGCAATTACATATCATTGAATATTGTATAAAATCGATTTGTACGATTTATAGAATAGAATAGAATACATTCCTCAGTTTAATCAAGATCTGAAATAACGTATAACGTTGTAATTAGGTATTTGACTACGACCGTTTTTCAAGAAATGATATGGTAGGCTCGGTGAGAGTGGCCATGGATAGTCTTGAATTGGTTTCTTCTACTTCCTCGATAGAAGTTTGGGGTGAAATAACGAGAGAACGAAAACCACCGGAAGAAATTCAAGAAGTTTTGGTTTCGTTATCTTACTTACCGAGTGCTGAGAGACTCACGGTTCTCATGATGAAAGCTAGAAATCTGTTTCCCCAACAGGTAGAATATATATATATAATAATTAGATTATATTACTTCGATATATCAAAATAATAGGTTTCTTTTTTCTTTAATCATCCATCATCTTTTAAAAAAAAAGTGATTTTTTTTGTTTCTGAATAATAGAAATGTTTTTATAATAATTAATTAAAAGTTTGCTATGTGTTTTTTACACCAATTGATTTATCCCATTATTCTGTTTAATAATAAAGTATTAAGGTACGATTATTTAAAAAATTTATAATTTACAAGTTATTTAACATTTTGTGCCAATATGTGTCAGAATTAAGTATAACAATCTTGTAAATTATTGGATTTTTTATATCTCTGTCTTAATACTTTTATATGCAGAATAATTAGAGAAATCATATTATGTAAAAAAATTATACAATTCCATTTAAAAAAAATAGTGATCTTCATATCTTTTTAACGCTTACATTCAAAAGAAAAACAACATGACCAAAGTACATCTCCCTTGAAACCATCCCACTTTTATCTGAAACATTTTTTCTCATCATAAAAATTAAGCGAAATATTTCAGATGCTCAAATTAGGTGGGACATCCTGTATATCGTCTAATTATTTAGTAATTATCTTAAAACAATAAGCGTTCTAAATATGTGATACAGGATAAGGAAACATTGGATCCGTTCGCGAAAGTTAGTCTTCTCTGTGGAGAAAGAAAAGTAAAGAAGAAAAAAACAGCCGTTAGGAAGGCTACGACAAATCCCATTTGGAATGAAGCAATGTCGTTTAATATACCTGCCTCATTACTTGCATCGTCGGCTATAGAGGTATATATAACAGTCGATATTTTTTTAAGTGCATAAATAGCAAATGAAAAACACCTAAGGCAAAATCAAATGAAAAAAATTAATCTATACATAATTATGTCTATGTAAGATATGCGTGTTGGACTCGAGCAGTGAACTCATCGGTGGAAATGCCATTGTCGGATCTTGTATCATTGGACCGGCTACAAGTGCGGACAGCGGTAACAGTCAAGGACGGGAGCATTGGCTTCAAATGACGCAGTCTCCGAGAAAGCAAATTGCTGAGTGGCACACGCTACACTAGTTTGATCATCGTTACGATCTAACCGTTTGATTGCCCGAATAATTCACATCCTTGAACGAAGGAACTACAATCTATCGTGTAACGTTGCATAACGAAGATCGAATAATATATAACATACGAAAAATATAGCGATTGTAAAATGGCAAAAAATAATATGTACTTCTCGTCTTAACAAAAAAAAAAAAAGAACAGAGAATCTCGTGACGCGTCAAGAAATCGTTCTTCTGCGTTTTTATAGATATATTGATCATTAAAGATCCATAACATTTCGTCGCATTGAATGTCGATGCTCAAGAAGAAAAGAAAATAATCTTCATATAAATATTCTTCATATATCCATAACAGAGACACTAATAAGCACTATACTTCTATTTTCATTCATTGCACAACAATTTGAGCTATACGCGTAGTCCAACTGCGCCTTTCTTAATTTTGGATACCTAAACGATTTAGAGACGTATTTTTGAAATATTCATGCATTAATAAAGATTCTTCGCGAAATGACAATGAAGAAAACGTGAGCCAAGCTGTGAAGCAAAAACAGAGACAGATTTCACGTTTCGCTTAACAGATCAATAATTAAATGTACAAACTAATAATTATAAAATAAGATACAATTTGAGAAGACAGTTATCAGGTCTAAGTACGCTCTAATTAAATTTGTGAATCTGTCTTTATTAAGAAGCTATCTTTCTCTCAGGTATGTCTCGTATTTTTCTCATTATTATACTTCTACTCTTTCCTTCTCTTCTAGAAAAAAAAAGGATTACATTAAAAACCAAAATTCTGTCTTGTATGACAAATGTGGTCTAAAAAAATATTTAAAGTATTCCGGCCGTGTCTATAGCTCACTGATCAATAAAGCCTAATATTCCTGCGAAAAAACAAAGCATGCTAATTGTGATAGCGTATTGATTGTCGTTATTAATGTGTATTTTGTCAAATGTATAATTCATATGCTAAACAAATTGGAACATAATGTGTGTAAAAGAAAAAAACACAAAATGTCTTTCGTTTAATCAAATTAACTCAATAAAGATAAATATTGATTTATCCGCATAAACCATTTTTAGCAATGCTTACCAAACAAACTAATGTTATTTGTCGTCATTTTAATATCAAATAACGTTAAGGACATCATTTTGACATTAAAATGACAACAAATAATCAAATTGTTTGGTGAGTGTATCTGCAAGTATATGCACACAGTTATTTTTCTACTAAACCACAGAAAATGAAGTCTGATTTTCACACGAATCAAGTTACAAATAGGAAAAATATCCGACCAACACTCACTACTATATCTACCATATTAAGAATTTGTATTTTTATTTATCAAATCTATTTCTTTCGATTTTAAATATTCAAAAACAATAAGCCTGCCGATTACCAAAGGGTTTAATCATATATGTGTACATTGTATATGTTACGTTTAAATGTTTACAATTTGTCAATCGAATTGCATTGTAATGACCAATTGTTGAAAAAAAAGAATTAAATGTTAATGAATACTAAGTATATCTAAAGTAAATATTATAATAAATAAGTATATATGTATACACATACGTAATGTAAAGAAAAAAACCTCTAAAGATTTAAATGTGAAGAAACGTTTCCACGATATGGAAGTGCAGTTCAAATTGTACGCTTAAACTTACATATATATAAATATATATTGGTAAATGTTCACTTTATGTGATATTCTTCTGTTGATCTTGACACATGTTGTCAGGATCATGATCCTGAATAACTTTTAATAGATTTTAGCTGTTGCTCGTTATTCATTAAAAAATTATTAACAAAAAAAATTTTTTTAAATAACGTCTTATTTCTCTGTCACATATAATTCAGGACATCCTTTACTTGCTTATGACTTTCTACGCGAAACGAGGTCCACTTCCTCTTTGTTTAACGGCGTCTGACTTTCCATGCGAAGTTAAATCGATAATTATTTGCATTAACGAATATCGTGTAGATGACCTTGACCTATATATGTTGTTAAAGTCACGATCTAAGTAACTTTGCTTTAACAACTGGATAGTCTGCTTTAAAAATGGTCTGTTATATAATTTCTCAGATATTAAAGTTATAAAGTATAATTTTAGTAATAAATTTGCTAATTTATACAATAATAGACAACTTTGACCTTGACATGCGTTGTCAAGGTCATGATTCTGAGTGACCTCCCCCGCCCCTGCTTAGAGACATTTAATTTTGCATGTAAAGCGAGGTTCACCCCACCAAGGACGTAATGACATTTTATGCGAGTGGATCGATCTTGCTTCGCGTAGAAAGTCATTACATAAGCAGAGAAGGATGTGAGATAATCCTGAATACTATATGTGGCAGAAATAAAACATTATTTAAAAAAATTTTTTTGTTAATTAAACTTTTTAATGAATAATGTCTAAATACGAGTGATGATCTGTTGGAGGTCACTCAGTTATGATTTTGACAATATATGTCAAGGTCCAGGTCATTGTATGGAGAAGCATCCCATAAAATGAAATATTTACCTAAATATTTACGATGTTTCTATTCTTGACATATACTATTAATATAGTCTATATTATATGTATATTGTGAAAAATATTATAATTATATCAACGAAACATATATATAGTAGAATTCATTTCGAGCAAACAAAATTTCTAGTTGAAACTGACTCGATATTTTATAACTAAAACATTTGTTAGATTTAATTACAGAGATTTGGTTAATACTTTTGGTTGAATCTCTGAAACTTTTAATTATGTTCATTAAACATTTTATTTACTAACAGTTTTTTAATGCCGATCTAATTAAATAAATTTATTATTATTATTATCAAGAAGTTCTAGTATTTAACAGAAAAGAATTTATAGAATTTGTGATCTATAATTATATGCAGGTATATTAACAAAACTAGGTGTAGAAATATTAATATTTTGTAACATATATTGATTTACGCACAATTATAATTTCAAAATATGATAAATTATCTTAGTAATAAATTTACAAAATTAAATTTGAAAGGAATTGTTTAATAATTAAAAAAAATGTTACATTATGTTTAAAAAATATATAATTGCGTATGAATCAAATTAATTCGTATATACATTTACAAAAATATATAATTATTCTTAAATTAATATAGAAATATTACAACATGAAATAAAACACATTCAGCATGGCAACGTTTTAAATAAAAAATGGAATGTTTTATGAAATAGGTATAACATTTCATTTTTTTTATCTGTAACGATAATTATGATTTAGCCGTAACTCTTATTTTAGTTATTTTAGTTTTTATTGCCATGGATCAGATTGGATATTTCAATTGCTGACGTTCAAAGATATTTCGATTTATTATCTTCAGAAGTATACTTTTAGTTATCCAAGTTGTCTTGTTATAACAAATGAGCGAAACACTTAAAATTTTTTTAAGTGCTTACGATACATCTTTTCCACAAGTAAATATGTGTTGTGTTTACAAAGATAAATTCCGAATGCCTGAACTCTCCGATTTTGTCGACTGGATAGACTGTATATTTAGTGAGCTGATTACGAATTAATCATGAAAATTGCCGATACAAGGTTATTTTCAACATTAAAAAAACGTTTCAGACATTTTTTTCATATTTGACATTGGAAATGATTTTGTTACTAATTTTCATGGTCATATTCATTATTAGCACCAAAATATAGTATAACAATTGATGGCAAAATCAGAATCTCCTTTGCCTTCCAGCTCCTCTCAGAAATAAAAATATATTCTTCGTTCTCAATTGATCCTGGAATCAAGGATGTAATGAAGAACTAACTCTATTTTTTTA